GGGAAAGAAAAGAGGATGAAAGAAATTTTTGATATATTGGTCCTGCATTCATAACAATAGAGTTCGGGAATCCTTTAAAAAGTACCAGAAATACTCATTCACATCACAAAAACGGATTGTTGCAGCTCTTTCTGTACATGGGGAGCACAATTCCAGCAATGTTCCTTTGCTGAACTTCACTTCTGTGCTCTTGTAATAGTAGTGCTATGCTATGAAACACAGCTGATGAGTCAGGAACAAGTGAGGTTCAAAGAACACAGAAATGAAGGCTATGTTGCATAAAGTGTGCTGTAAGTTATTTTTAATTGCTTTTCAAACTGAATAATAATTTAGTTACTAATGCATTTGCAAATAGAAGATATGCAGGTATAAATAAGTCAATGTTATGAGAAAAATATTTTTATAAATATTGAAAGTTTAGTAAAATAGTGGAAAACATTGATAGCATGCAGTATGTTTTCTATTTCTTTTGTGATTTCTGGGGGCTGTGTAAAATGTATTGAACATAATAATATCAAAAGTGTCCAGTAGTACTTTAATTCAAATTAATGGAGAGAATCACAAGAAATTCTGTTAAAAGCAATCACCATGCTTAATGTTGTCAACAAGCAATGCTGAAAATATTTTATTAACCTATAGAGGATGGTGTTGGCTAATGCCATAATTTTGTGCTGGCAATACTAGTCCAGTAAACAAGTTGTATGTAAACAAGAAGTAGGAGAGTAAACCATCATATATTATGGACATGGCTACACAAGAGCAAGGGAGGAAAAAAGTCCCTCCCATAACATAAGGTCTATTAGAAATTTGAAAATGCACTGAAGTGTGAATAATGTCATAGCAACAATTCAAGTGGCAAGTATAATTATATGGTATTTAGATCCCTATGCTGTAATAGCATAAACAACTTATAATTGGAATTGTAATTTGCAGAAAGCTGCATATTAAGAGAAATTCAGTCAAATTGGACTCCACATGAGAACATCTGTTGTTAGCAATGCTGGAAGAAAATGTAAGCTAGATTTGTAATAAAAAGAAACAAATACCACAGTACTGATAGCTTTTCTGCATATTAAATTATATGTGAATTTGTAACTATATGGCGAATGAGGTTGAGCACAGTAGCTCATATTACAGCAGCTGAATATCTTTTCACCTTGCTTTAGAATGTCAGTAATGTGATGAAAACTAGCAACCAACATTAACACAAATATCTATCTATCCATCCACCTATCTGTTAAGAATAATGTTTTATTTTACATATACATTTGACAATTCAGGAAAAAAAAAATACTAAAGTTCAATGTTCCTATTATCCCTTTTAAATAGGTAAAAACTGTACAGAAATAGTTGGACAGTGCCAGCCACATACATGTTTCAATGGTAACTGCAGCAATGTTACTCCAAACACTTTTCTTTGTGTCTGTGACAAGGACTTTACAGGTAAGAAAAACCTTTGTTTCTCATCTTATAATAATGGTTTCCTGTGTTATAACAATGGTGCAAACTTTTGCTTTACTGAAACAGTTATTTTAGATGATTGTTGCACAGCTTGCAGTTTCCTGAGATTTTTTTAATAGGTTTTGTAAAAAAAAAATAGCAGACTTCCACATGACTATTCTAAAATACTTGGGTACTAAAGTAAAACTGTACAGATGATAAACACTTTTCTTGATTGGATCCCATCCATGAGTACCTTTCTCCTATTGGCAGTATGACAAAAGAAGACTCACAGTCTCACTGGCTCTCAAATACAGAGTTTGCAAGAACAGGATCAGAATCTCTTGCTGGATTATTTGAAACAATCATGACACCTGTGTTCATAATTTCAGCATCCTCTTAATAGATGTGCTAAAAAAATAAGATAGAAATAAATTACAGTCAATAATCTCATGTTTCAGTGGTGTGCCTTTATTAAAAAACCCCCAATGCTCAGAAGTTAATTGGTTTACTTATGATATATTGGACATAAAAGATGCTTTCATGAGAAAAGCTTGAAACAAACAAACAAACAAAAAATCTAAAATCATCCTATTGTAAACACCTTTTCTTGGGGATCAGAATAGCAGCCAAACTTAAACCACTGTTTACTCTAGTACTTCACAGCAGAGATTTACTGTGTTGGTATAAGAGAAGTATTAATACTCAGACCAACATTTTTTAAGAACGAGCTAAATATAAATCTAGCACTTGAATATCAAAGGACAGTAAAAGTTGTAAAAATGCTTATTTCTTAGAAGCATCAGTTATTTCTGGCAATCACAGAGTGTGTCAGTCATTACATGGAGATACCTGAAGTGCGGGGGCCAAATGGGTGGGGTCAGGCTCTTTTCACTGGTGCCCAGTGACAGGAAAAGGGGCAAAGGGCAAAACCAGGAACAGCGGAAGTTCCACACAAACTTAAGGAAAAATTTTCTGTAAGGGTGACAGAGAACTGGAATAGGCTGCCCAGAGAGGTTGTGGAGTCTCCATGTCTGGAGATGTTCAAAACCCCCCTGGATGCTTTATTGTGCAACCTGTACCTGCTTTGGCAAGGGGGTTGGACTAAATGATCTCCTGACATCCCTTCCAACCACTACGATTCTGTGATTCAGTGAGATGTAGAGTTAACAGAAAAGCAAAACAAAGAAGAAAAAAAAACATCAAATACAACAATAACAAAAAACCCATAACGAAGTAAGAGTGATCCAAGAGCCAATCTTTTTTTTTTTTTTTTCCTAGTGAAAGACTGAACATTCCTGTTGACATTTTAATTAAGTCTGTGTAGAACTATATTTTTAAAAAAATGGGATGGATATGCTTAATTCTAAATTCCTAGTAAATCTCTTTTATATTACTCTCCTTTTCCTCCCTTTCCTTCACTGTATTGGACATCATGGTCAACATCATTCTAAGATAACTTAAAAAACCCTTTTTCTTCAAGGGAGGAAAGTCCCTCAGTAGTATTTTCTTGAACTAGCTTTTCCCCCATGCATGGTCTTTGTATTTTTAAAACACTTACTTTTGTCCCTTACACTCAAATAGTGTGGACACATTGTTTATTAAATTTTCCCCACAAAAGTCTTTTGCATCCTTGCAATTTTGACCTACTGAGAGAGAGGACGAGATAAGAGATGAGGAACACCCTTGCAGTTACAGTAAACCCAAGCCTATAATAACAAGAAAACAGTTCAAGACACTAAACTCTGGTAGATGGTAGCAATCACTGCAATCTGGTCTCCAGGTAGCTGGTAAGGATTATGAAGGAGAAAAGGAGACTATGAGTGTGAATTAAATTCATTTTTATTCTCCAGTTAAGTAAAAGAAAATCTAGAATCCTTTCTTGTTTCTAAGTATAATAAGTATCACTGGAGGAGAAGGCAGACTTTCAGGAATTTACTTTTTTTTCCTGCTCCAATATAAGTTACTTCAGGTCCTACTATAACAGGAAAGTGTACAGTACATCAGCACACCATGCAACAGGACTGGTTGATTAACATACAGTATAATTTTGCAATTATTTTCCAACTAAATGTTGGTTTAAGTCTACATTTCTTCCTGTGATCCTGTTTAAAAGTGTTTACTGCTACTAAGGCAATTTGAAGAATAGTTACCTAAAAAAACACAATCCATATGGAAATAAATATTTTTCTATGAAAACTGACATTTTTCTACTGTTATTCCATCACAGTTGTATTTTTTCTCAGACAAAAAGTGCTGTGTAATTGTGAAACGTTTAACTCAAATGGTATTCTAAGTATGTGAAGTTGTCAGCAAATTCAAAACATTCCTGTTTTCATACTGAACTTATGCACAGAAAGCACAAACAATACCGAGGTTGTGCAAATGATGTTTAAGTTTTTATAAACTTTGATATACCTTTTTGATAAAATGAAATAAGAAACTGGCAGTAACTAGTTCACATAATCTGAATGAAAGTATGAAATATTTGTGTCACTGTAGATCGATGAGATGTAAAAAATTGTAATAATTTTTTTTCATATTTGTAATTGTGATTATTATTTACAAGTATTTATTCAAAGTAATAAAGTTTACTTTGTAGAAGTTGTTGTGTTCATAAAAATAGGATGCCTTTATTGGCCCAGTAATATTTATGTTCATGTCAGTTATGCATTTATATTTTTATATTAATTGTTTATTTCA